GGCCATTCCTCACGAACCTCCCTCTAGTCTGGGTCTGTCTGTGTCCCCAGACTGGGCAGGGCCGGGCAGGGCCAGGCAGGGAGCAGTTGCTCTTTAGCAGCAATAGTTCCCTTTGGGACCAACCCTCCGTCCCTGGGGCAGGCTGAGCACACACACCTATTTCCTAATGTGACTGAGGGGAAATGGCTCCGCATTTGGGAGGCCCCTAGACATTTGGCAAGTCCCCGTTGCCTTATACTTCCTGTGATCCTCCCCGGGGCTGGAGGAGACCCAGCCTGCTGGAGGCAAAGCCATAACACAGGCCAAGCTCCTCAGTTTCTAAAGGGAAAGAAGAAGTGAGAGTTAGCGCTCTCCCCGCTGCCACGCCCAGCCCGCCCCCAGCAACTTTCTTTCCATTCTCCTTTCCCTCTGCCTTCAGCTCTCCCCAGACGCTGTTCTTCATGCAAAGCCTGTGCCTCCAGTCTCAGAAGCAGACCTCCTCCTACCAGCTCTGAGGCACAGAGCGGGGGCTGCCCCCAACCCTGCTCCCCCCCACCCCCAGGGCCAAGGTCAATTCTTGCCTCTTCTGGAAGCCTGGAGGGATGGTGAGGTCGGGCTGAACTTGTCCTTCTCAGGCCCTAAATGTTTATTGCCTGGAATTTATGTTCTGGGTTCTGACCCTTCTTTCATTTATTCACTATTAAATATATCTTGTGATCAACTCTGGGGCTGCAATATTAATAATAATAATAATAATAATGTCATAAGAAAGATCTTCCCCTAACCCAGGGTCCAGGGAACCCAAAGGGGGCTTTTTATGAGACAGGGCTCTGGGGACAGACACTTTTAGCACAGCAGGGTAGGAGAGACACACTCTCAAGAGGTTATCTCCATGGTGCAAAATGTCTGATTGGCCTTTCGATGCTACATCTTCAGGCCTGGTCCCTTGAGGACCTACCCCTCCTCTCCCTGCCACCCCCAGCACCCACCTCGAGGTCCTCCTCCTCCTGCCTCCCCAATCTGGGATCAGACAATGACCAGCACTGATACTGGAAGCCAGACACATGGAGGCAGGACAGGGTGGGTGAAGGAGAGAAAGTGCAAGAGAAGCCAGGCCTAAGGCGGAGGGAGAGGCTTATGGGGCCCCAGGGAACCACAGGGATGGCCTGGTGGCCAATCCGGAGGGTCTGGCCCCAAAGAAGGGCCTGGACCTGTGGATGGAGTATGGGGACAAATGAGGAAACAGATTCAGCAAGGTTAAGTTCAAACTCACACAACAAGTAAGTGGCAAGCGGGGATCCACACCCTGGCCTGTAAGTCCCCAGCCCTCCTCCTTAACTGCTATGCTGTGCAGGGACTGCCTGCTTCTCACGGCCCAGACGCCAGTGGCAGGCTCACGGAGGCCCTGTGAGCCACAAACTCCTCTCTGTCTGCCTGTACTCATGCCAAACCCAGGGCCAGAGCACTGAGAGGTCAGTTTTCCTGGGGACTGAAGGACTCTCCAGCCAGCTAGTGCTCAAGGATGCACTATGACTGTCTCCTGAATACCTTCTCCCTGCAGATGGCTTCATACCTCTCATCTCACTGAATTCTCAGAAGAACCCCCATGATGGGCATTGTAACCCACGTTTCAAAAAGGTCAAAGAAGTTTACCAGCATCACACACAGAGGAGGTCACCTGGCTGGGACTTTAAACATGGGTCTGCAAACTCAATGTACTTTCTTCTGGAAAAACTCAACATCCTAAAGACCATAAAGTAGAAAAATAGAACCAGCCCCGGAATTAAACGACTCTCAATCTACCTCACCTCTAAATTCCTGCTGAGATAATATATTTCCCTTCTGATTTAAGCCATGTTGATCTGGGATAGCAGAGGAAAGTTTGAGGGGATGATGGAACTATATCCCTATCGTGGTCCTCGTTACACATAGCTTATACAGGCATTAAAATTCATAAAACTAAAAGAAACTATAAGGAATAAATATAGCATAATGTTAAGACTTCATAAAGTTGGGTAGTCTATTTTTACCTTTATGTTTAAAATATTTTACAACAATAATGAAAAGACCAAAAAAGAGGAGGAAGAAGAGCGAGAGGGAGGAGATGGAGAAAGAGACAGCTGAAGAAGTCTGTTCAGATGCAATGGCTGGAGCTGCTGCAGCCATCTTGCAACCATGAAAGGGGCCAGTGGGAAGGTAAATCTGAGACACGAGGATGACAGAGCAGAGAGATGGAGAGATGGTAAATGCCTACCAGCTGCTGAATCAACCAGAACCTCAAACAGGCCTTCTCTGAGATAATAAATGTGCTTATTGTTGAAGCCAGTGTGAGTTGGGGATTTCTGTTACTTGGGTTGATGACATGGTCACTCATACCAAGTAACAAGCCAGATCTGAAGCAGCGGGACAACTCCATGGCCAGTGCAGTGCTGAAAGAAGCCAGAGGATCACTCGTGGACGCATCATGGATTCGTGGGCCTGAGTCACCAGAGAGAAACTCATAAACTTGCTAGTTGGTCTTAAGATTCTGGTTTGGTGGCAATGCGTCAGTCAGAGTCCCGTGAATTTCATCTTAAGGCTTCTTCCCTATCTGACACTCTGGCCGGCGCAGTGACTGCCTGTGCCCCGGGGGACTCCGGCGTTTTGTGTGGTCAGAGATGCTGGTGTTCAAATCTGTGCATGATGACTTTGGTTAAATCTAATGTTCTGACAGGTCATCGATCTCTGTGTTTTGCCTGTTACATAGACCAGTCTCCCTTGTCCAGACACAGAAACCTGACACTGGAGGCCCAGGAGGGCAGAGCTGGGGTGATGACCCAGGGTGATATGTCCTCCCGTCACCTGACCCAGCTCCGGGGAAGAAGTCTTCTCTTAGAGAAAGTCGGCTCGGCCTTGGTGGGGGCCACAATCATTCTGTGCCTTTGGTTCCCTCGTCTTCGAAACGAAGCAGAATTGTCCCTCCCTCCTGGGTGGTGTTCAGACTCCGCACAGAGTAAGCATCGGCATGCTGTGCGGAGCCACGGTTTTCCTTCTTAAGCGAGCGGTGTTCTAGTGGATGGGGGCCTGAAGGGAAGCCCTTTCTGAACCAGGCACAGAGAAGAGAAAAAAAAAACAGCTCCGGCGGCCTCACCTCCGCCTGGCTCAGCCGGCTTCATCAGACTTTCATAAAACCGAAGAAGTCCGGGAGACAGGACCCCAGGGGGCTGATGGGGACCCAGCAGGGGAGACGATGGCCTCCCCTTCAGAGAAGCCCCCTATTCTCTCATCACCATGGAGACTGAGCTGTCTGCCCGGTGGGGTTCCCGCCCACCCAGAGCCTGAGGCTGCTACAAAGGGAGGGGCAAGGAGCCGCGCAGAGACCCTCCGTGGAAGGCTGGGGGCGGGTGGGGAGGAGAGCGCCTGTGCCCCTCCCCCACCCCGGAGGTGCTGAATTGCTCAGGCCGGTGTGGAGCCCGAACAGGTCTGGGGGTCTGAATCCCAGCTCTGCTGGCGGCAGCTAGTTTCCTGACTGTGGGAAAAACACTTCCTCTCTCCAAGCCTCAGGTGCCGCACCTGTCAGAGGAAGGGGTAGAAAGAACAAAAAGGACACTGTGGAAATGAGCACAGAGGACCGCGTGGTGACTGACAGCCGGAGGGAAGGGGGGATGAGGGCTGAGTGCAGGTGGGCAACTGGGGGGGGGGTGGAATGGGAACATCTGTGATAGTGCCCGTAATAAAAATTTAAAAACAATACAAATAAATATAAAAAAAGAAGTTACATAAAAAAAGAAAGGAAACTGGGAGGAGGAGCAATGAACTGCGGGCGTGTGGAAGGATATTTAGTGCTCAGGGAAACGTCCACTACATACTGTTTATTGAAAAAAGGGAACTTCACAAAACCAGTGCGATCCCATCCCTGTTTGTTAAAAGAAGCAAAACACAGGTTCCGTTCACGCTGACCAAAAGAAGGAGGGGGAGGCAGAGAAACACTCTGAAACACACCTCTGCTTGTTGTCTCCACAATGGGGGTTGCACGTAACTTTTATCATCTTGGTTCTTTCTCAAATGTTGGCCAGTGAGCACGGGTCGCTTTCAAGGTCACAGCGACAGGAACAACTGCCACTTCTGTGCTTACTGTGCAGGCGCACTGGACTAAGAAGTGCTCTCCGTGATTTAAACTCCTTCTGTCTTCACAGCCAGCCAGAGAGGGAGAGTACCCTGACGATTCCCACTTTACAGAAGAGGAAATTGAGGTTCGGAGAGGTTAAGGGGCGTGACCGAAGCCAAACCACCCAACTGGCAGAGCAAAGATTTAAAATGACAGTTAAGATACTGGATTCCAAAATTCAAGTGTTCAATTATTACCACTCCTGCCTCTCTGGACAAAACCAAAACCCACTAAAGGTTCTGCTTTCTTAAATGTTTTCATATGGAAAATGTCAAGAAAATCAAAAGTAGAAAGACGAATATAACTTTCCATTACAAAAGCAATAAGTTCTGGGGAGCTAATGCACAGCGCTGTGACTGCAGTTAAGAACACTATTTTGTGTACTTGGAATCTGTTGCAAGAGCAGATCCTCAGTGTTCTCACCACACACACCACAAATCATAACTACGCGAGATGCTGGATGTGTTAGCTTGGTCGTGGTAATCACTTCACAATGTATACATGTATCAAATCATTACATTGCATATATTTTAAATGTATATAATTTTATCATATATATGTCAATTGTATCTCAATTGGTCAGGAAAAAATATATAATGAACCCCGATGTACCCACCACCCACAGAGGAGGGTGGGGTGCTTTGGGAGGGGAGCAATGCCCAGAGCCAGAGTAAGTCTCAACTTACACATTTACACACCCCGCATGTGCACACATCACATGCACACACACCCCACATGTGCATACACCACGTGCACACACACACCCCTCCCAGACTCCACTTCTGGCCGCCTCTGGGGTTGTGGCCCCAACCTCAGCAGGGCAGCGCGGGCGGCCGTCCTTCCCCTCTCCCGCCCCAACCCCACTTCCTTCCTCCTTTCCACATCCTAGTGTAACTTGCATTTCCCCAGCCAGCTCCTTATAGGTCCCTGGTTCCCTGCCAAAGCCGCGAGGCTGTGCCAGCTCTGGAGGACGAAGATATGGCCAGAGGCCTGGACTGCATGATGAGGTGGGCAACCCTGGTGGTGCTGGCCGCCCTGGGCACAGCTGTGACAGAGGCCACCAACCCCGGCGTCGTGGTCAGGATCACCCAGAAGGGCCTGGATTACGGTAGGCCTTCCTCTCCTCTCCCAGCCCCGAGGAGCATGTAGGGAGCACCTACTGTGTGCAGCCCTTTAACTCCAGCGCATGGTGTGCTCATGGCTCAGCAGAGTAGGTCCCTCTCCCCATCTTACGTATGGAGAAACTGAGGCAAGACAAGTTACCCTAGAGCAGGACTGGGACTACAGTGCTGGGCTTGGAGGACTCCAAGTCCAGTACCCGGGCCCCCAGGGGTCCTCAAGGTCCCCTCCCTCCCTCTACCCAAACCTCAACCCAGGCTTCTAAGCCTTTTATTTTCTTCCCAAGCTTGCTCTCAGCCCTGTCATTTGCTTCAAGATTACTGCTCAGTGTTGTGCGTGGGCAGAGCTCAGGCAGGAGGGCCCTTCGTAAATGTTCCCCCAGGGCAGGGGCTTGGTGGCCATTCTGTGCACATTACCCATGTGGGTGGCCCAGAGAGGGTCCCCCAGGCCACTTACCCATTCCCAGGTAGGGCAGGAAACAGCTCCTGCTGACCCGTTCTGATCTGTGCCAGGCACTGTGCCAGGAGCTTCACGCACACAATCTCGTTTCATCTTCATGTCACCCCTGGGTGGGACATACTGTAACTAGCAACGTTTACAGATGAGCAAATGGAAACTTGGAGAAGGCAGTGGGTAGGGGGCCGCCTGGCTTTGACCTCTGGTTTTGTCTGAGGTCCCTGCCTGTGGCTGCTCAATGCTGTCTCCCAGTGGCTGAGAGGTGAATTGCAGAAGAGTGAGGCTAGCCCACCCCAGAGCAACCAGACCAAGGAGAAGGCAGAGAGAACCTCATGCCCTGGGGCACCACTATGGCATCCGGACAGGACTTAGGGTCACCTAGTCTGTCATCCCTGAATTCCTACCCCAGCCCAGGCTGGACACCTCTGAATCCCAAGGGGAAAGTAATATGGCCCTGCTCCGAACACAGTGCTCAGGTGGCCCCGAAGACTGGCCTGGATCAGAGGCTTGGGCTCAGCCTTTAAACCCAGATGTCTTCATATTCTGTCACAGGAGCCTCAGTTTTCCCCTCCACTCACACCCCACATGGAAGCCACAGTGGGTTTTCTGAAGGGCAGCAAATCTGCTCATGTTCCTTTCCTTACCTTGACTACTGTATTTTGCCGTGTAAAGGCGCACCCACAATTTTGTGTACATTATACACAGGATTATTATACCCATGGTATGTAATCATTATGCTCATGTATAATGTGCATCTTTGTTTTTCTCTTAGAAGGTTGGGCAAAAAAGTGTGCATTATACACAGCAAACAGCAAAAGTACAATGTTCAATGGTTCCCCAGGACCCTCAGATCCTCTGACCTCTGTGCATGGCATTTGAGACCCTTCAAGACCTGGCTGCTGCAGACCCCCAGATCCCGGCCAGCCCACATTTTCTTTCCTCCTCCAGGCAGTGACCGTGTGTGTGCTGTTTACTCTTGAAACCGCAGAGGGCCCATCCCAGGGCACAGGCTCTGGGACCAGAAGGCCTGGATTCAGAGCCTGTTTCCCTCACTCACCAGCTTCCCCGTCTGAGAACTGGGGGTGGTAACAGATCTGCTTTCCAGGAGTGTTCAGATTCAGGGACTTAATGCATGTACAGAGCAGTGCCTGTACACTGCCTGGTATAGAATAAGAGCTCGATAAATTATTATTAATAATAATTATTATTATTATTTCCTAACTGACTCTTGGAAAACACAAAGCCTGGGATTCCTCATTTCACATATTACTCTTTCTCAGATAACGTTTGCCTTTTAATTGGTTCTTTGATGCTGTTAGTTACATCATAACTGGTAGTAGAATCCTTGACACCGAGGCATTCAGTGTCATTTATTCATCCAGCAAATACTAAGTGTATTCTAGTATAGGTTCTAGTCACTGTGGTAAATGTGGGAAACACATTGACATTACTAAATAAAACAGGCATTGGCACTGACCTTGGGTGGTGGGGAGAGACGTTAACCAAAAAGTCGCATGAATAAATGCATAACTACAAACAGGACTGGCAGAGCCCAAGGAGATGCCCAGGGCATCATGAGGGGCCAGCTGGGTCAGAGAAAGTTCCTGGAGGAAGTGATGATGGAGCTGACTAGAAGTTGACCAGGTGACGAAGGGAGAGAAGGGTTTCCTAAGCAACAGGAATGGCATATGCAAAGGTCCTGTGGAGACACAGTCCAAAAGCCAGAGAGACGGAGCATGTGTGAGGGCGTGGCACAGAGCTAGGCACACAGAAGGCGTGCAGTGAACACCCATAGGATGCATCACTGGGTGTTTCAGGTGGGGGGGGTAATATTTTAGACTGGGGGATGGCAAACTACAGCCCACAGGCCAAATCCGGGCCACCGCCTGTTTTTGTATGGCCCAAGGACTAAAAATGACTTTTGCATTTTTTATATGGTTAAAAAAAATGATATCTCATGCCAGGTGAAAATTATGCAAATGTGAAATTTCAGTGTTCATCACGTTTCATTGGAGAAACACAGCCATACCCACCACTTACATATTGTCTATGGCTGCTTTGCAGCGGTTGTGACAGAGACAGCAGGGCCCACAGAGACCAAAATACTTATTCTCTGGCCCTTCACAGCAAACCTTAGCTTTAGACCTTCCCAGTCCCACTGTGCCAGCGATGGACAGGGGCGAGGGCCCGGAGGCCACCCTGGCCTGCCAGCCCCGGTCCCCCCCATCCCCACCCCCCACCGCGACTATGCCTCTGACAGTTGACCCTGCTCTCTCCCCTCAGCCTGCCAGCAGGGAGTGGCTGCGCTGCAGAAGGAGCTGGAGAAGATCGAGATTCCCCCTTTCTCAGGAAGCTTTAAGATCAAGTATTTGGGGAAAGGCGACTATAGCTTCTACAGGTGAGGCCTGTCAAGCTCCATCCTCAGTGTGCAGGGCTTTATAGTGTTCTGGGGCCACGGAAGCCTAGAATCACAGAGCCACCCACTCCTCAGCCTAGAGAGGTTAGGATCCCAAAGCCAGTGTTCCACCGTTCCAAGGAGATGCAATCCCCCAAGCTTCCACCATGAAAACTGTCTTTTGGGCACTCACCATGACCCCCTGAGGGATGTATCATGAACCCCAAAGCTCTGTGCTAGGCCCATATATCAATTAGGATATGGAGCAGGGGGGTTCAAGGACAGAAAACCTAATCCAAAATGCCTAAGCAGAAATTACTGGCTCACAGGACTTAGGCATCCCTGGAGTAGTCTAGCTTTAGGTTCTGCTTCAGGCAGGCTCAAGTGTCATTGGATTTCATTTCTCTTCCTGCTGTCACTTCCCTTGGGGAGGTCTAATTCTCAGGTAGGGTGACTCCTCCAAGAGGCAAAATGCCCACCAGCATCACTTCAGCATTGCAAGTCCTATGGAAGGAGAGGACCTGCTTGTTGCAACTCAAGCAAAACCCCTAAGATTCACTCTGATTGGTTCATCTTAGCTTATGTACACATTCCTGAACCAATCGCTGTGGTCAGGGGAGTAGAATATGCTAATCGCCTTATGCCCAAATCATAAGTTCCACCCCCTAAAGATGGAGGCAAAGTCAACTTTCTTTGGAGCAACATGGAAAAGTTAAATGATAGTTCTGTTAACACAATAAGGAGTGTGGGCCCTGGGCCCAAAACCCACAAATGTTCTGCAGGGAGTTTTATATACCTATTCACTCAAAAAATATTTTTGAACATCTACTGTGTCTGACACAGCAAGCTTTGCTACAACAGTGGCAGAAAGACACACAGCACCCCTGTATAGAACTTGTAGTTAGTGGGGTAACGTCTGTTATCTATACTGATTGTCACACACCCTACCAGGTAAAGATTATTGTGTCCATGTTACAAATGAGGAAACTGAAGCTCATGATGAGTAAGTGACCGGCCCAGGGTTACACAATAGTGCCTTTAAGGGCAGGGTTCAAATGCAGATTTGTCTGACTTCCAAGCCTAGCCACCTGCCCAATACCCGGGTCTGCCCTGGTCTCCCCAGGCCATTCTCACAGCATCTAGGTTGTCCTGGAATGCATGGAGTGCAGGAACTGGGTGGAAAGCCTGCGTCCACGTCAACCGTTGGCTGGTCCTTGTGCGGGCCCCCTGAAGGCTAACCGAACATTTCTTCTTTGCAGCATGGTTATCCGTGGAGTTCAGCTTCCCAGTTCTCAGATAAAACTGCTGCCCAACGAGGGCCTTGCTGTCTCCGTGACAAATGCCAATGTCAAGATCAGTGGAAAATGGAAGGCACGCAAGAATTTCATGTGCGTATCCAAGCCTGAGTTTTTTGAGGATGTGGGTGAGCTCTTGGTGATACTTGGAAGGGATGAGAGCCAGCATCTCAGGAATGCTCGGGTTTTGCCTTGCTCATCACCACTTGTACCCACAGGGTTCCTGGCAGAATTTTTCACATAAGCAGATTCGACATAACCCTTGGTTAAGAGCTGAGCACATGTCCTTGTCTCAGTGCAGGACACTGGCTAGGATTAGTGCATGTGGCTTAGGACGGAAGGCTAAGAGGGACCTTTAATTTATCCCTTTATCAGTTAGCTATTGCTGTGTAACAAACATCCCAACCCAGTGGCTTAAAACAAGTCATATATTATCACTTGCACCTCGATGTGTTGGCCGGGGATCCCACATCTAGGTTGGGCTTAGCTGAGGTGGCTCTTCTGCACCTGTATTTTGTCCTCCTCTCTGGACCAGTAAGCTATCCAGAGCATGTTCTTGGTGATGGCAGAGGGGCAAAAAGGGCAACAGGAAACATGAAGCTCCCCTTCAAGGCTAGATTCAGAACTGGCCCAGTCACTTCTATTCATATGCCATTGACCAGAGCAAGTCACATGGCCATACCCAAAGTGGAGAGCATGGAAATACACCCCTTCCCCAACACAGGCAGTGGTGAGGGTATGGATGCAGGGAGGGGTAAAAAATTAGGGCAAGCCATCCAAACTATAACTCTAAATCTAAATATTGGCCTCTCACCCCAGTGACCCTTTCCACTAGTGACGGTGGCTGCAGACTGACCAATGACTTCAGAGACCTCTCCTTTGTGGAGAGTCCAGGGGGAAAACAGAGGAGAAGTCACTCTGTGGGGACCAGGGTGTGGATCTGGCTTCCCTTACAAGGAGCCCTGGGACGTTGGTTCCCTGCAACAAGGATCGCTTAGGTCTTCACTTGGGCTCTTTAGTATCTATCGTTTCACTTATGTACGATTTTTGGAAATTATTTTTTAATTTCTAAGATTTTACTTATTTATTTTTAGAGAGAGGGGAAGGGAGGGAGAAAGAAGGGGAGTGAAACATCAGCGTGTGGTTGCCTTTAGCACAACCCCTACTGGGGACACAGCCTGCAACCCAGGCACGTACTGTGACCGGGATTTGAACCCGCGACACTGGTTTGCAGGCCTGCACTCAATCCACTGAGCTACACCAGCCAGGACCTATCATTTTTTTAATCACACAAAAAATTAACATTACTTCATCACTCTATAGAAGAGTTAACAAACTACGTTCACATCCACTGTCTTACCCAAAACCCATTTCATCCCCAAGGGAGGACTTGTGAACTCCACTTAATGAATGGGGGCATTCCTTAATTAAAGTCATTGATCCCAAACACTCACCTTTTTAGTGACAAGACTGGTGTTTCAGTGCTGGTACAGGATCTGGATGAGGAAACTGGAGCTCAGAGAGGCAAAGAAACACTCCCAAAGCCACACAGCATGGGCGGAGGCTGTGGCAGTGGGTAAGAGCAGGGTTCTGTCAGGCAGACATGGGTTGAAACTTCAGATTGGAATCCTGGACCTTTCCCTCGGCTGCTGTGTGACCTTGGTCAATCTGTCTCCCTCTCTGAACTCCGTCTCCTCCCCTAGACTGGAGAGAATAGCAAAACCTACCTTCTAACATTGTCAAGAAGATCAAATAGCAGTGGGATGCTCTTGTTCTAAGTCTTTTCTCTTTGTCTCCCTCCAGCAAAGTCAGAGGCAACTTTGACCTGAGTGTGGAAGGCATCTCCATTTCGACTAGTCTGAAACTGAGCTGTGACCCCACCTCAGGCCACTCCACCGCCACCTGCGCCAGCTGTAGCAGCAACATTGCCAGCGTCCACGTGCACATCTCAGGCAGCCACCTGGGGTATGACTTCCTGGGGCTGTGGATAGCAGGAGGGACATCACGGAGAACTGTCCTAATCATCCCTGTATATAGAAAACAAGTCCCAGGTGCCACCTCCCTGCCAGACCTTCTTAGAGGCCTCAGGTGGAGGGGGAAGGACAAGCGTCCTGGATGGAGCAGACCCCGTTCCTGACTCTAGGGGGTGGGTTACTTGTTCATTCAACATGCATTCAGCAGACTTGACTGAGCTCTTACTATTGCCCCAGGCTCTGGGTTAAATACTATATATGCACTGAGTTATATACAATTCTTACCACAAAACCATAGGCATTCCTCCAGCCAGCCGGTTAGTCAACAAATATCTGTTAAGGATCCTATGCACCAGGCTTATGCAGCACGCTCAAGAAACAGACCAACTGGCCAAGGCTGATTTAGCTTACGCTGTGCCCGGCACTGTGTTCAGCACATGCGTCACCTCATCCAACCCACAGTGACTCTGAGGTCAGTCCGCTAGGACCCATTTTCTGGGGAGACAACCTGGGCACAGAAAGCCTAGGAAATGACCTGAGTTTTCATCCCCAGTGATTAATGAGAAGGAGTTCAGCTCCAAGACTCTCTGGCCCCAGATTCTTAGCCTCACAGTCCCTGTTCTCTGGAAGCTCCCGGTCTGGTGGGGAAGACAAACATTAACCAAATCGTCACATTAATGAGTAGCTCACAGAGAATTTTAAAAGGCTATAAGAACGAAGAAAAAGAAGGACAGAATGAGGCAAACACATAGAACAGGAGGATCTGACCTAGTCTGGGGGCTGGCCAGTTCTCCCTTGAAGAAATGATGTTTGGGTTGAGATGAAAAGAATAAGTAGGAGTTAATTAGGTCGCTGTGGGGACAGGGGGTGTTTTAAGCAGCGGGAACAGCACGTGCAAAGGCCCTGGAGTGGGAGGAAGCACAGGGCACCAGAGGCTGTGGCAGAGCAGTGGGGCTGGGGAGCAGAGAGGCAGGGGGTGGTGAGAACTGAGGCTGAAACAGGGCAGGGGCCCAGTTGTGCCCCTGTTGGAGAAATAACCTCATGAACAGGTCACCGCGTACGGGGGAGTGTCTAATGGGGTGTGTGCAGTTGCATCTCAGGGACGAAGGTGGGTACCTAGGACGATTGCAAGGAGGGAGAGAAGCTTCCCAGACGAGGCAACCTTCCTGGGGAGTCCAGGAATGCCTGGGAAGCCTCATGCATGTCCCCATATGTCCATCTCTAGGTGGCTGATCCAACTCTTCCAGAAAAAAATTGAGTCTTCACTCCGAAACACCATAAACAGCAAGGTAGGTGTGGTTCAGTCTGTTCTCACCCATCAGAGCAGGAGGGGCGCTCCGTGTCCACATACCTCATGCATCGCCGGTCATTTCTATGGTCACCCAGACTGCCCAGCAGTCCTTCCAGCCCTTTGAAACCACACCTCCAGCTCCAAAAATCAGGCCTATTTTCCTGAGGTGTCCAGTGGGAGACTAAGAAAGGGTCCCATCACACACCCACAGCAAATGGCCATGTCAGCTTGGATCACCTCTGCTCTCTCCCCTCCTCATTTGTCCTTGCAGAGAAACTGCCAGCCTCTCCCCATAGTCCTCTGGCCTCCTTCCCCATCCCTGCCCCACCCCAACCCCCCCTTCGTGGTGCTCCCCACCCAGAAAATGTGCAGCTGTTGTTGTGGCCAAACTATTCCCTGAGACTGGAGCTGGTATGAATGACAGCCACTGGCCAGTCCTCCGACTGCCTTCACACTAACCCCTGCTCCCAGCCAGTCTCTTCAGCCGAGAAAAGGGGCCATTCATTGGCCGGATTTGCCATGAATAAATCATCAGCTTCCAGGAATCCCCAGGGCCTGTCTCACAAGCCAAGTAAGCTTGGGCTTTCTCCAGAGGGCTCTGGGGAGTCACTGGAGGATTTAGGCAAGGCGTTGACCCGGCCAGATCTGTGCTTTAGAACAGTCTGTCTGCTGCTGTGAGAATGGATGGATAGGCCAAGATGGAGGGCCAGAGTTTTGGGGAGACTGAGGAGGCTGTGCAGTCTTCCAAAGAGGCAATGTTAGTTTCTCAGTCAAAGGCACCGATAATATGGGTAGGGAGAAATCAACCAAATGAGATCATTTATTTCAAGACACTGTCAGAAGTTGTTTGTTTGATTCTAAATCAACGCATAGTTGTCAAAATGTACAATACATGATTTATACAATGGCTTTTAGAGTCAGGATTTCTGGGTTTTAATTCTGAATCTAGGGTGGAACTAGGTATATAAACTTGAGCAAATGACTTGTCCTTCCTGAATCTCAGTTTCACCATCTGTAAAATGGGGACCCAATACCTTTTTCAGTGAGCTGTTATAAGGACCGCTGAGACAATGTAGGCAGTGTGCCTACCCACCAGCCTGGGACACCCATAGTTCAACTGTCTTTGTAACTAAGTAGTACTATGAGGGGAGTGTTGGCATGTATTTAACACTTGGAACTATTAAAACAGATTATTTTCTTGGTAACACCTTAAGAGTAGCCCCTTGAAAGCAGCCAAGCTAAAAAGTAATAACACTGCTGCTGGTGGTGAAGATGGTGATGGTGAAGATGACGGTGGTGAAGGTGGTGGTGGTGAAGGTGATGAAGATGATGGTGGTGAAGGTGGTGAGGGTCAAGATGACAGTAGTGAAGATGATGGTGGTGAAGATAATGACGGTGCTGGCAGAATGCTTACAGTGAGCTTAGAACTATGTTAAGAACTCTTTACAAGGATTCTAGCATTTAATATACACAAAATCCTTATAAGGCAGGTATGTCAGATTATCCCCATGTTAGAGATGAGTAAACTGAGACACATGGACAGAAATGCATTGTGCTGAAATGCAAATCCAGGCCACTCCACCTCAGAGGCAAAGCTTTTAATCGTAACCAGGTATTGTTTAGAGTGCTGGCCTGAAAGGATGGATGAATGGATGGATGAAAGAATAAATGAGGTGATGGGGTGTCCATGATGCTAGGAAGGCTGGACATGGGGAACAGGGAGCTGCGGGTGGGACTCCCAGGGAATTCGTAGTGAAGGGTGGTGTCAGAGGAAAGAAAAAGTCTATGTGAAGTTGGGGGGTAGGGTGGGGTGGAGCCTGGGCAGAGCGGGGCAGCAGCAAGAAGCCAGCTGCAGGCTATGATGGGATCTGCTGTGGTCTGGGGCCATCCGAGGCACAGGGCTGAGTGGCATTGGAAATCGTGGCCAGTGGACTGGCAGCCCAGGTGTCCAGCTGGTCCCAGTTGCCAGAGGTGCTGTCCCCCCCAGCGCTGGGCCACTTGGAGAAGAAACAGTGGTTCCTCAGATTCTAAGTCCTCTTGGAACATTCAGAGTCTTAGGTTTCAGAAACACAGTTCAGGGAACCAGATTTTCTCCCTCCTTCATTCCTTTTCTTTTCTGTCCCTTTTCTGCTCCCCCCTCCCCCAGATAAAGTAACCTGTTTGAGAAGTATGAAGACACCCTCTGGGCAGACTGGGTGGGGGGACTGCCCTGAGGAGAAGTTAGACTCTGAGGGGTTTGGTTGATGGGAGTTGGCCTTGGGGGCCTGTGGCCTGGAGGGAACTGGGCCCTTAGGCCTGAGCTCAGGGTTGAAGTCTGGGCCACACACCAAGGTCTGGGTGTTGGCCACATGTTGGCAGCATGGAGGAGGTGACTTTGCTTGGGTCCCTGCCCCAGGCAGGTGCTGAGACAAAGATTCAGACGCAAGCAACTTTACTGGAAGGGGATCCCCGGCACCAGGGCCAGGCAGTGGAAGGGAGCTGGGACATTCTGAGTGGGCCAGGGCTGGGGACGCCAGGGCTCAGTCCTGCGGGTGATTCTCAGAGGAACCGTGGGGCACACACCGCAGAACTGCCCTGAAATGGTGAGGAAGCTGGGCATTCATCTACCAGCCCTCGGCGCTCTTTGGTTGGGCTGTTTCTGACGTTGTCACTCCTTGGCACTCAGAAGCGAGGGCCGGAGGACAGAAAGTGCTCAGGCAGAGAGAGCTGCCGTGTGTGGGGGCAGCTGTCCACACCGGGTGCAGGTGGCCTCCGGGCGGAGCACAGCAGGGCCACCCATGGACGTGCAGGGCACGGCTCCGGAAGAGCCTGTGAGTGGAAGGAGCAGTGAGCCCCAAGGAGCTCCGATCCGCAAGAGGGAAAAGGAGCTCATGAGCTCACGAGGGTGTCTGGGGAAGAGGGAATGAAAGGACAGGCAGAGAGCAGTCTGTGCTGGGACTGCAGGAGCATTTCTGGGAGACAGTGGTCCACCTGCCAGGGATGGCCCAGTGTCAAGAAAGACAAGGACCAGGGAGACTCAGTTGAATGAATGAAGCGATAGTGTCCCTGCAGACTCGGGCAAGACCCAATGTGAAGGTAGGGACTTATCTGACCACCCCTCCCCCAGCCCCAACGTCTTCAGGTTAGGGAAGGCTGCAGTTTAAATCCTGCTTTCCAGCTCTGTGTGGCTTCAAAACAAATAGCCCCAAATACAGTGTCCTAGAGCAACTCCCACTTCCTAGGGCTCATGCTGCATGCGAGTCAGGAAATCGACAGGCTCGGTGGGCAGTTCAGCACATCTCTCCTTGCGGTCTGGGTCTCAGCTGGGCCTCCATGCCTGGGCTGGGACTCTTGACCTGAGCAACCACCTGTGGCCTCTCCATGGAGCTGGACAGCATGTCACTGGGTCCCCAGAGGAAGCAACCAGAGAGGAAAGGTTTCAAGAGACCAGAGTGGAAGATGCACAGCCTTTTGTGACCTGGTTTCTGAAGTTACACAGTGTCACTCCTGCTGTGTTCTGTTGGTTAAAAAGCAAGTCACTGTGCCCACCCAGATTCTAAGGGAGAGTTCCCAGAATCCACCTCTCAATGGGACTCTGCCAAGGCCACACACCAGAAGGGCAAGTGAAATGGGAAGTATAACCTGCCACGATCTATTTCACAGATGAAAAAACAGAGGTCTAGAGAAATGGAGTGACTTCCTCAGTGGCAAAGTCAGACGTGGGCCACGACTTCCCAGACTTGGGCTTTTTTCCTTGTGAGTCAGGGGAAGGGCAGGGACGGCTTCTCTGGCCACACTCGGCAAAGGTGAGGGTCCCCCCACCCAGAACTGAGCAGAGGGCCTGCACCCTGCTTTCAGAAGCACAGACAGGAGAAGCTGATCGCTGACCGCCTCTTGTTTATTTTCCTCTCGCTGATTCCACAAAGGATCTGAGGCAGCGAACACAAATGGATGAACAAAACAAAGTCCCACATTAAAAAAATGGAAAACAGCTGGGAGTAAAAGACAGAAAACTGTACTTGAACAACAATGAAAATAAAATTTTAAAAAATAAAATAAAATAAATGCAGATGATATTCGGGTATCTCTGGGTACTCTTTAAAAAAAAAAAGGAAAACATAAATAGTTATTAGGAAAGTTTCACACCAGAGTAGAAAATGCAGATATGCAAGTCATCCAAGTCATATACAGTTACTATTTCTAAGTTATGTGCTGAGCCCTGAGCTTCCTGGTGGCGAAAGAGAAAAGGGAAACTTGATTAGTTTCACGATTTTCAAGGAAATATTCCAGGAAAGCAAAACACATCCAGATCATTATTCCCAATGAACAGGTTACACTGTGGATGTCCTCACTGATCACCTCTTTTGTCATCCCCAGATCTGCCAGGCAGTGACCAGTTCTGTGTCCTCCAAGCTGGAATCTTTTCTCCAGTCAATGCCAGGTGAGTGCTAGGTGGTGTCAAGGAGATTGGGATAGAGGGGGCAGAGGGGTGGGAAGGCAAGGAGGAGTGGGGCGGAGCCAGCAGGTTCTCCAGACTGGCCTGAGCCTGGGCAGGAATGGGTAGAACAGATGGTTTTCAAATGGCAGTTGGATCCCTGCCGGGCCAGGTCTCCGTGGCAGGTCCAGAAGTGAGGTGGAAAGGAAGCCCACGGCCTCTCATTCTCCTCCCTGAGCAGGGCCCAGCAACAAAGTACCCAGAGCGGTCCGAGGCCAGACACAAGTATCTGGCTTGAGACCTGAGGCTGATCATCCTGGGTCTCTGGGCCTCGGTTGCCATATCTTTAAAATGGAAACAATTCTCCTTATCCCCAATGTTTGGTAAACTGTGAAAAGCCACAGTAGGTGGGGGAGGACCCACTCCCCTGACTGAATGCTTAGCATGTGCCTTGCATCCAGCAGAACTGTCTCTTCTTGTCCACACCCCACTGAGTTTGTCTACTCCCCCAGTTTTACCACGAAGAAATGGAGACTCAGAAAGGACCCATGACAGTTGCCCAAGGTCATAAACCCAGAGAGAAGCAGAAGCAGGATCCAAATGCATGTTTTCTGACTCCAAAGCCTGTGCCCCAGGCTGCTACTGGCCTCCCTCTGTGAGAAGCCTGGCATTGTGGGCACACGGTTCATGCCGTTGATGACGCGTTACCTTCCTGTCCAGCCCCTGCAGGGGCAGAGCCTGTCCTGGAAATGTTCAGTGCAGTTGAGTGTCCAAGGTTTGGCCTCACCAGGCAGGAAGAATAGGTTGGTTTCGGTCTCAGCTCTGTCACGCACCAGCTGTGCCATCTTGGACAAATTGTCATTTCTGGGCCTCTGACATGGGAAGGAAGGGCTAAAGGAAAGACCAATTTTTTATGCATTGTCATTGATTACTGCTGGGAAACAGAGAAACTGTTCAGAGTTGAGCCAGCTCGGGCTCAGCCTGGGGTATTAGCCCTGCTAATATTGATGCCTTCTGGCTTTGAGCCTGGCCATGTGCAGGGCATCCGGCACCTTAGCATTCAACCCTCCAGCGCCGTGAGCCACCGCTATCACCCTGTTCTACAAATGACAGAAAAGTCATTCAGAGAAGAAAAAAAAAAGTGACTTGTCCAAGGTCACATAAAGTCTGAATCAAGCTCAGGTCTCTCTGCTCCTTGACCCTGGGTTTTGGCTTCATCTCAGGGCTGATGGAAGAAGAGGGAAAGAGAGTCTGTGAATGCGGGGTGTGGGTTCATTTTCCTTTAAAGGGATCTCAGGGTGGGCTCTCTGGAGGAGGCGGAAATGGAGCCAGAACTGCAGGTCTTAACTGTAGGGGATGCTGACCCTGCATCAAAGGCCCCAGAGGTGCTGCCATGAGGGGCCAGCTCACAGTCGCTCTTCTCTCCCCTCCAGTGACAGCCAAGATCGATAATGTGGCCGGGATTGATTACTCACTTTTGGCACCTCCGACAGCCACGGCTGAGACCCTGGATGGGCAGCTGAAGGTGAGCCTTACATGGAGAATCATGTACCCTCACTCCCGGGCTCCCCGTCACCCTCCGCAATGTATCTTACAAAGCCTCCACCCCCTTCTCCTCAGCGCTCAAGCAACCCTGCAACCCCACTCTTCTCCCGCTCCAGTCACACTGGCCTCCCTGTCATTCCTGAAACACACTCTGACCTCCGCCTGCTTTCACCCCAGGGCCTTTGCACTTGCCCTTCCTTCTGCTGAGGAGGCTCTCACCTAGGTATCCACATTGGGCTCTACCTTCCTTCCTTCAGGTCTTTACTCAGATATCCGCCCTCCCTGGAGGCGCCTTCTCAGACCACTGTCACTGGAATAGCCCCTCCTCTCACCGCGCATCTTGCTTTATTTTTCTCAGCAGCATTTATGACTAACATGCACACACACAGCATCACTCACTTGGGTGAAAGAGAGGGGGCTGTGACTGCTTTGTTCTTTACTGTATGTGCGGCACCCAGAAGTGTGCTTGGCATATAGTAGGTGTTCAGTAAATACGTACGGGATGGGTGGGTGGGTGGAACTGTGTTTCATGCTACTTCCCCCTCACTCACCGCCCTCCAGCCAGACACACTGGCCCGAGACTCCTCCACGCGCCGGGTTCCTTCCCTCCTCGGGGACTCGGTCCTACCAGAGCCTCTGCCTGAACTCTCCTCCCTCCCACGCCCTCCCCGACCTGCCCTTCTCACACTCCAGGTGGGTCTGTGTGGGACGCTGCTCCTGAAGAGCAGCCTTCCCTGACCCCCCAGCTGCCGTAGGTCCCACGCCTTCCTCCCACAACCAGCCATTGGCTTGTGTGTTCACTGTTTCCTTGTTTGTTCTAAAACACATTTGATGTGAAAAAGAAAATTTGGACACTACGTAGGAGAGAGAAATAAATAAATAGGAAGAAAGGGAGGGAGGGAGGGAGAGAGAGAGAGAGAGAGAGAGAGAGAGAGAGAGATTACCCAGATAGTATAACTCAGAGATACACACTATTGGCACACAATACTGTTGATGCCTCCAACGCTCCAACCCTTGTCTATGCCAACACACACACACACACACACACACACACACACACACACATGATGCAGCAACAGGTACACAACAGAACCACCTGTACAGACATAAAAATACATACGCTCCTTCATGCCGCCCTGTTGCTGGCTGTTAGGACCTTCAGGGGTCAGCTTGTGGTAAGCACAGCGCCCCCTCCTGGGACATGTGGGCTCTTCCCAGTTTTCCCACAAATGTAACCAGAGCTGCAGTAAACATTTTTGTGGCTGGATCCCTGCCCATCCTTGGATATTTCCTGGAGGTGAAATTGCTGGACCAAATAGCATCCTTTTTTTAAAAAAAATCTAAGTAATACACCAGAATAAAGGATTTAGAGGGTGCATAAATTATCCCTGGTGAATGAGGGATGGGAAGGTACTATTGCAACACCCCCCCCAATCACCCCTCTGCAGGGTCAGCCCTGGCGGGTGGGGGGTGTTACCCTCCCAGGGTCCTGGTTCTATGCTTTTGAAGTCACATACCTGAAAACCCATCTGGGTGTTCCCGATGGCCTGTCTCCCTGAATGGATCCACGCTGCACTCCCACTTGACTTTGACCCCTAACCAACCGCCTGCAAGTCCTACAGCTGCATCCCCACTGGTCCATCTCACTATTTCTAAGAGTTGCGTGGTGACCTCTAATCTCTAATTCGGGGGTTGTGGTTGTTGATTTTCAATGACGACATGATTCAACAGTACAGAGAATGTTATACCCTCTCATGTACCCACCACCCAAATTTAAGAAATGTTACCATTTTGTCATATTTGCCTCTGATTTTTTTAAAAATTAAGCATTGTAGAGATAAATAGCTCAGGCCCACAGGGCCCCACCCCCGAGGTAATCACAGTGGTGACGTGGGTGTGTCCCTCCTGCCTGTGTCTTTGTACTGTTACTCCATAACCATGTCAGTAATTCTTATACAGCAGGTTTCATAGGCCTTTAAATTTCACATAAATAGTATCTTACCATGTGTATCCATCTGCAATTGGCTTCTTTATGAATCAACATTATTTGTAACTGAATACATGATCTGCTCTTGCAATGTGCTGCTACATTGCCTTTTAGAAACATGGAAACATGAAAAAAAAAAGAAACATGGAAACATGTGTCTTCCAGCGCCTGTGAACACTGTCGCCAAAACCTGGACAGTGCGGGTCTGAACTACAAACGCACTCACAACCGTTCGCCTCCCCGTTTTGGATCACTGCTGATTTAGTGGATAAAAACACCAAACAAACAGAACCTGATGTTCTCTAGAGTTTCTGTGCTTCCCAGCAAGGCTGAGGCGGGGACGGCGAGACGGTTGGGTGTGTGCTGCCGGGCCCTGGGCTCCCGGTTCCATTCCCGGCTCCGCCACTTCCCCGAGTGACCTGGGCAAGTCACTACACCTCCCTGTTCCTCGGGGTCCCTCCTGTACAAGGAGCACGACCGCCCCTGCCTCACAGGGTCCGCAGACCCCAGCACCCAGGAGAGCTTGATGCTAGTGTTGGCTCCTGGCCATGACTTCCTCCTCTGGTGGTCCTCGGCCCAGGTTTTCCTGGAATGCGCACGTTGAATTATAATTCCCAAAGGATGCCCAGGCTCACTCTGTTGCCTCCACTCCCAGGGGGAGTTTTTCAGCCTGGCCCATCGCAGCGCCCCTCCCTTCACCCCACCGGGGCTGGCCTTCCCCACCGACCATGACCACATGGTGTACCTGGGCCTCTCCGACTACTTCTTCAACACGGCCGGGCTCGTGTACCAGCAGGCCGGAGTCCTGAACCTGACCCTCAAGGACGACATGGTAAGTCCGGCCTGGGGGTGGATGTGGGAAGAGCAGTAGATGGTCTGGATTTGAGTCTGTTCACACTGGGGAGATCAAGGTCTAGGCTCTAGAGCTGGCCAGACCTGAGTGCACACGCAGACTTTTCCAGCTGCGTCACCTCTGGCTGGTCACTCGGCCTTTCAGAATCTTAGTTTCCTCCTCTGTAAAACACCAGTAACTATCTACCTCCACGAGGCAGGGAGGACTAAAGGAGGTATAAATGCATGAGAAGCACTCAGCATGTGGGACTACGTGATGAGGACGCCAAGCCACAGCCAGCAGTGACGGAGTACTTGCCTTACGTCAGGCTCCGTAACCCAGTCTGAGCATCGTACCACGATCATGGGCATATCATCCTCTGTCTCTGTATACTCATGGCTGCGTCCCGCTCTAGAACTCCGTTTACCGATCCTATGCCGCTCCTGAGAGAGAGGTCATATACTCCCACTCTGCAGAGGAACCACCAGGAGGCTGAGCCCCCCGCCTGTCCCCTGTGGAAATAAACAAAGACCACCCGAATGAGAACTCTTCCAGGCAAGGGGGTCAGCCACCACCACTTGCATTTGGTGACGACTCGGAGACAGGCAGTGGGGTGGGAGGCTTTCTAGGGCTTCAGGTGTGCGCCCAGGGGGGTGGTTGATGGCACAGCTGGGCATCCTATACTATTCGCTTAAGAGCGTTTTTGACTTTTTCATGGTGCAAAAAAAACAATTGGGAAGCTGGTAGTCACTGGGCATGTCCCTGCCGCTCTGGGGCGAATGCTACAGAAGCTGCGAGACAGTGTTTCGTTGTCACATGGGTCTGGCCGTTGTCCGTCTGCGTATTCAGCCTCTCACCCCTCATACGGAGGTTGTCCCCCCTCCAACCTGTAACATAAACCCCCCAAATCTCTTTCTTCTTTTGCTATAGATTCCAAAGGAATCCAAATTCCGACTGACAACCAAATTCCTTGGAACCCTCATACCCCAGGTGAGAAAAGGCCTGCCCCCCACCATCAGTTCATCAGGGGGTCTGCGGGATAGGGCTCTGCTCAGGGGGCAGGTCCAGAGGCAGTCCAGCCTGAGAGCGTGGCCATAGTTTTGCACAGCCCACCCCCATCAGAGAAAGGCCCCCAGCAGTCAGGTGGGTGCCGGGGCTCGTCACTTCCACATGTGTTCAGTGTCTACCGTGTGCCGTGGGCCCTGTGCTGGGTGTCCAGCAGCACAGACCATAGCCCTGTTCTCCTGGGGCTCCAGTCCAGTGGAGAGAGAAAATTATTACCCAGGCACCCAAAACAATAAAAAAAGCGTGAAAAAGGAAGCCAACAGGTTGATGAGGTCTAGTTAGACAAGGTGGCCAAGGGAAGCCCCTGTGTCTGCCCTGACCAAATGCCACAGACTGGGTGGCTTAGACATCAGAAACTGACCTCTCCCAGTTCTGGTCCAAGGCACGGTGGCTGCAGATTCGGTTCAGGGCGAGGGCTCTCTTCCTGGCTGGCTGGCGACGGCCGCCTTCTTGCTGTGTGCTCAGAGGGCCTTTCCTGGGAACACGTGTGCAGAGCGGGAGCCCTCTGCTGTCTCTTCTTCCTAGAACACCAACCCCATGGGATCGGGGCCCCACCCTCCCAGCCTCATTCGACCTAGTGACTTCCTTAGGGCCCTCTCTCCACAGCCAGCCACACTGGACTTCTCTGTATGAACTTGGGTGGGGCGGGGTGGCCACAAACATTCAGCCCTTAGCTGCTTCCTCAATGGTGAAAATTTTACGCAGGAGATACAGGGGTGAGGAGGAAGTGTGCCGGATTAGGTGGCCAGGGCAACTGTCTTGAAGGTTAATTTGCATAATGATCACATTATTTTTACTCAGACTATGAGTTTACCTGGGGGAGGATGGGAGGCCAGCGGAGGCAGGGTGTCCCCCAGGCCCTCCTCATTCCCCCTTGGAGCCACCACTGCTCTCTGGGGTGACATTTGAACTAAGACCTGAGGGAAGGGAAAAGGCCCAGCTAGGGAAGAGTGGAGGACAAGCATTCATGGAGAGGGAACAGAGAGTGCAAAGGGCCTTAGGAAATAGCAGGTCATGTTCATGGAGCAGGAGCCCCGCGTGGCTGGCACTGCAGGCGTAGAGAATGAGGCTGGCAGGACGCCAGCTGCCCGATCATGCCGTCTTCACTATTTAGTCCAAATGCAATGGGGAGCCCTGGCTGGTGTGGCTCAGTTGGTTGGAGTGTTATCTTATAACCAAAAAGGGGGGGGGGTCAATTCCCTGTCAGGTCACATACCTAGGTTTCAGGTTCAATTCCCCCCTCTAGTCATATACAGGAAACAATCAGTCAATGCTTCTCTCTAAAAGCAATAAAAAAATGTCCTTGGGTGGGGACAAAATTAATAAATAAAATTTTAAAAATGCAATGGGAAGACATTGGAAGTGTTTATGCAGGGGCTAGGACAAGATAGGATTTAGAAACGTTGGAATAAAACTGCCCCTTCTGCCGGTTGTCCCCGCTCGGGGCCGCAGGTGGCCAGGATGTTCCCCAACATGACCGTGCAGCTCCTCGTCCAGGTCTCCTCCCCACCTCGCCTCACCGTGGCCCCTGCTGGCCTCGCCTTCACCCCTGCCCTGGAGGCCCAGGCCTTTGCTGTTCTCCCGAACTCCTCCTTGGCGCCTCTCTTCCTGCTCGGCCTGGTAAGCTATTCCAGGGCGTGGGCAGATGGGGGGCCCCAGACAGGGCCGAGAGCATTGCCCTCGGGGTCAAGGGCCAGTGTGAATCCTGCCCGGATTCAAACCTGGACTGTGCAGCTCCAGGGCCTGAGACCAGAGCCATGACACCAGCTGCTTTGGGCTCCGACTGACCTTCATTTGTTCAATTATTGATCCCATCGTTGGGTTGAAATATGTGTACTGTTTCTGATTCATTCACTCGTAGCTTCAGTCATTTAATTATGCATCTGTGTATTGTTCAGTCATCTGTGTATTGTTCAGTCAATGAATAATCAATTATTCATTCGATTGCTAACTTGAAAGAGGTTATACTTTCTCTGGCTCATACATGCATTATTATTCATTTACTTATACCTTTGTGCAATTGATCATCTGTTCATTCACTCATTATTTATCCACACATAACATTGTTTATCCCTTCATTTGTATGTTTAACCCTTCATTTGTTCAAGTTCTTATTCCATTGTTGATTTGTGCATTCGTTCACTTGATCACAGTGTCACTCTGTGAACATTTGGTGGCACCCACTCAGCCTATGGGAGCGAAGGCCAGACTTTCTCTCCACCAGGAGGCGCTCACAGCCTCAGGCAGGTCTCCAGATCTCAAGTGGAGACCCACTTTCCCCACTTTGCAGATTAAATGCATTATGACAGGACTGCCCGAGGTCTCAGACAGCAGACAGGAAGGCTGAGGCAGGAGCCTCCGTTTCCTGACTCACCAAATATTTGTGGAGTAAATAAATGCCTGAATGTCTGTGGGGGCAGGGCTGGCCTAGACTCCAGCCCTGTGGGCTGACTCACGAGGCCCTCACAGCAGCCTGGAAAGTCTGTGGGCCACTCGCGGGCCAGGGAGAAAATGGTCCTTGGTCGACAGTCCATGACTCAACAATAAACAGGAAGCAAAAGGAAGATCGCTCATCCCCCATTCTTGGCCTTGGCCTCTGTGGGTCTGACCCTCAGTGTGGGCTGTTCTGCCCGCCCTCGGAGGCTGACCCTCCCTGACCTGGGGGCTGACCCCGGGCCCTGCGTCTTCACCTCTGGGAACTCACCTCCCTGGTTGTTGCTTTGCAGAGCACGCACGTGTCTGTGGAGGTCGGTGCCAAGTCCGACAGGCTTGTGGGACAGCTCGGCTTGGACAAGTAAGTGACCCTGCAGGGGAGGGGCAGGGAGCTGCCCATCCATCCTTGGTGTCTATGAGCTAGCGATGACCTTACAACGCACCGGGCACTGTGTCATTGCTGTCCTGTTCACCCATCACACCAGAGCTTCAGTGTGCAGAGGACACAGTGTCCCTGTTTTGCCAACAATGAAATTAATACTCAGAGATGAAGTGACTTGCCCAAGGCCACACATCGTAGGGTAACCAGCCATCTCAGTTTGCCTGGAGTGTCCCAGTTCCAGCCCTGAGAGTCCTGAGTCCTAGGCCATTCCTCTGTCATAGACCAGCTCGTGGCTGGACAGTGCCCACTGACCCCACTGCACACTGGACCACAGCAGCCCCCAGCTACCCCATGCCCCCGGCCTTCCTCGGCACTTGGAATACCCACTTTACCTTCTTCACCCCCACCCGTGGGAGTTTGTCAGGCCTCCTCTGCTGGGAGACTCTGGGATCCACATGCCCAAGTTTGAATCCTGGCAAGGAGGCTGTTAGGAGTTTGCTCTCCAATGTTGAGGCTGATTGCATTTGAAGAGCAGCTTGCTGGGGCAAGCAGCAAACTCTCCAAACCTCCGTGTCTCTGGAGGTAATATAAGCCCAGTCATTGTTAGGCATGGTCGTGAGCATGAGAGGAAGTGTGAATGTGTGTCGAAGTGTTTGGAACACTTCAAGGGACAAAACAAATGTTCAGTAAAGCAAGAGGGAAAGATAGAGACAGAAAAAGAGAAACGCAAAAATCGGGGGAGGGACAGAGAGAGAGACACTCAGAGACGCATAAAGGAAAGGAGGAAAGGGAGAGACATGGAGACTGACAGGCAGGCAGGAAGATGGGGAGACAGGTGAAGAGGGAGCCTGTCAGAGAAAGACAGACACCAAAGGAGGGAGCGGGAGGGGTGGAGAGGCGCCACACACACAGAAAGAAAGGCTGACCCCAGGGCAGAGAGGGTGCCGCAGCCCCCGCAGTCGGCCGGGCTCCTGCCCCTTAATCACATTCATGCTGTTTCAATTGAGTCTTGACCCACATTTCTGCATGTCCGCCTTCTCCCTGGCGCAGAGCTGTCCTTCTTAACCTTGGCATTGGCCCCTGAGGCTTCCATGCTGCTCATTTCTTGTGGCTTCCGTTTGACAAGTGTTACTGCTTTGGAAACATGTGGGTTTAATTTTCCTTGAAACACCCGTGGGCCTCTCAAGTAGAGAAGGCGGGCAGGGTGATGGCTGAGCACAGACTTTCTGAAACACGCAGGGCAGGGGCCTGGGGCTGCTCCCTCTCGGTGAGCGAGACGGAGTTTTCCAGCTTTGCAGGGTATTGGAGACAGAGAGAGAGAAAGCTTTGGCATCAGGGAGACTTAGGAATCTTACTTTGCTAATTGTCAGCTGTGTGGCCTTAGGCAGGTTGTTCGGCCTCTCTGAGTATCAGGTTTCCCATCTGTCACATGGGAGTGTAATGGCCCTCTCAGAGTTACAGGAATTCAGTGGGACAAAGTACAATATTCAACATAGTGAATGATAGGGGCCCAATAAACAGTCATTTATTTCCCCCTTTCTCTGAGATCACATTTAAAATGCCTTAAAGGTTGTAAAGAAGGGATGGTGTGTTGGCTCAGGTCATCAAAAAGTCCAAGGGTTTCAGGCAAGTGTGGATCCAGGCGCTTAAATGAGGTCCTTGGGATGCTGATTCTCTTCATCTCTTGGCTCTGCTATCCCCTGTGCTGGCTTCATTTTCTAGAAGCCTGTCCCAAATAATGGCAAATGTGGTCACCAGCAGTGCCCTAATTTTCCTGGAGAAAAAAAGAACATCTCATTCCCAATATCTCCAGCGGAAGTTCTGAGACCAACTCCCACTGGCCCAGCATGAATCGCAGATCTACTCCTGAAGCAATCACTGTGGCAAGGGAGGCAGAGTCTGCCCTTTGGCCAGCCCACCGCCAGGCTGGGTACTAACAATGTAGAGAGTGGGAGGTTTCCCCAAAGGAAAAAGCAGGAGGCTGTGACCAGAGGAAGGGGATGAATGCTGCTTGGGGAAACCAGGCAGCAGTCCCCAAAGTGGGCCCTTTCTCCCCAGTAACTAAATCCTCGTAGGAGTCAAGCAAACGGAGCCTCAGCCTCCCCCTCCCCTTCCCACAGGCTGCTCCTGACACTGAAGCACTCGGACATCGGCCCCTTCTCGGTGAGTCTGAGGCTGTCGTGATGCCTTCCTTCCCTTTACTTTGAGATGGGAGTCCCAAGGCCACTGGGCTCATGGCATCCTCTGAGGTCATTTGCATATACTTTGCATGTACAGCAGTGATGGGAGGAGCTTTGTGGAAGAGGGACCTCAGCTGGAATCTCTGCTCCTTGCTTACTCACTGTGGGTCTTGGGCAAGTGAGTCACTTCCCCTTTCAGAAGGTCAGCCCTTCCCCAGCAATCAGGGATAATCCTTCCCACTTGAGTTAATGTGGCTTTAAATGGGATTAAATGTGTATAATCTGTTATGCAAAATCTGCTCAATAGGTGCTTGTTGAATGAACAAGTGAACTACTTTACTGAGCACCTAACTATGTGGCAGACACCTACTATGTCCAGGTATTGGGATATGCTCATGAAGAAGACAGGGAAGCAACCCCTTCCAGAGCCTTACAGCACGGTGGTAGACAGACAGTAAGAAATCAAGGTCATTTTGGTTAATATCAGTACTATGAAAAACAAATGGAAGTGGGGGAGGTGGTGATGAGAAGGTTGAGAGTTAGACAGTGTAATCAAGGAAGGCCTCTCTGAGGAGGTGATATTTGGGTGAAGGGAGCCAGCAAGGGGAAGATCTGTCACAGGCAGAGGGAATAGCAGGGGCAACGGCCCTGGGCTTGGCTCACCCCGGGCCTTCTAGGCCAGAGTGGACTGTGTGTGAAGGGCGGTGGGAAGCGATGAACCGCTTCGTACAGAGTGACCCGAGCTGACTTATACCTGTCCTAAAAGATGCTCCCGGCTGGGGTTGGCAGAGCGGGTTGTGGGGGACAAGTTCAGACCACGTGAATCAGTGGGGAGGTGGGTGCGTTTGTCCACGTGAGAGATGATGGGGCTGAGACTAGGCCAGGAAGGGAGCAAAGATAACAGATTGGGGACGAATAGCACTTTGGAAGGAAGATCAGATACAACTTGGTAAGAGATGTGAGGTGTGGGGCGAGGGAAAGGGCACTAAGGAATGACACCTAGATTTTCGGCTGGAGCATCTGGGTGAAGGGCAAAGTCACTCACAAAGATGGAGAAGGGCAGGTGAGGGGGAGAGGGGCAGGGGTCTCACCAGCCCAGGGAGATGATTCCACTACCCAGATTCACCAACCATCATTAAGTAGACCCGCCTCCCCCACCCAACGAGGGTGCTGGTGGTGAGTTGCCCACAGAAGTAGCAGCCCAAATGCCCTTCTACACTCTCCCTGAAAGGGTATCCCCTGCGTGACTTTCATGAGAAGCCACAGCACGCTGATTCCATCCACAGCCTCTAACCACATGGGGCCTTTTGTTGAACCCCTGGAGAACAGGGATCTCTGAAATACCCCCCAAGACCCCCACGAAGTAGGTACCTTGTAAGCCACCCAACCTTCAAGTCAGACCATCCCAATGTCCCCTCCGAATCTGGTGGCAGTCCAGCCAGCCATTTCGATCTGATGAGGCTGCAGCAAACAAAAGGACCCAGAGCTCCCCCGTGTACTTATTTCCATGGATTTCCTGGCACCAGGCTCTGCTGGTGTGATGACTCAGTGGGTAACTAACTTCTGCTTCTGCAGAAAATAAAAATTTTAAGTTCCTGGATTCATGGAAAGAAGGGCACCACATTTGATTAGCCCAGAGAACTGCAGGCTGGGAAAGGAAACTCAATCGTTCCAGAAACAAAAATGTACCTATTGACAAGTTGTATGTGTCACCACGGCAGGCAGTCCTCGTGAGGGTGTTACATTAGTTTCAGGTTGTTTTTGCTGTTGCAGAAGCAAGTATACATTCTACAACAGTCAGAACCCACGGGGTTAGAAAAGAAAGGAAGTAACAGCCATTTCCAAATTTCACCACTGGTTAATAATTTGGAGTACATCCTTTCTGACACTTTGCCCTGTGTATTCAGTAACAAAGTGGAATTCTGTGGTTTCAACAGCCCGCTTTTCCTGACTCAGAAACTATCACTAATGTTTCTGTGATGATAATTAGATTCCTACAATGTCGTTCAGAACCATCGTGCAGTTTCTGGCATCAAAGTGCCTCTGTGTCTTTCAGATGCTTCCCCAAATGTGGACACGTAGGTCGCTTAAAATTAATTTATTACGGTATAGTTGACATAAAAATATGATATTAGTGTCAGGTGTGGAACACAGTGATCAGACGTCTGTATACCTGACGATGTGGTCGCCACGCCAGGTCTACGAACCGTCTGTCACCAGGGCAGAGTTATCACACTGTGCTTGACTATGTGCTCCTTCAGCATCGTCACCCATCCCTTCACCCGTCTCCCCGCCGGCAGCCACCAGTTCGTTCTCTGTTTCTGTGAGTCTGTGTTTGGTTTGTCTGTGAGTCGTGCTGTCTTCATCTTCTTCCGACTTATTCACCCTCCAGCTCCATCCATGTTGTCTCGAATGGCAGAATTTCATTCTTTTTTATCGCTGAGTGATGTTCCATTGTTCCGGTTATATCCGTCACCCTTTGAGCATCCTTGCATCTATCTGTTTCTGCCTATATCCTAGTCACGTCCTTAGAATAAATACCTTAGAGGCATGTTCGCAGCGCACCAGACACACACATTTCTGAGGCTTTTGCTGAACACTGCCGAGCGGCCCTGGGAAAGGTCGAACCTGTGTGCCCTCTAGCCCGCCGTGTCTGAGATCATGCATTTTCTCACGGCAAAGGCTTTCACATTTAATACTCTCTGCTGACCTTCCCCTGCCTTGCACCTTACAGGCTAAAACTTGCTTTACATCCTGAACCTTTAGAGTAAAAGAGAACCCTTCTGTGGCCTTGATCCGGCTGCGGAGTTTTCACATCACTTGGGCCCATTTCTCAGCAGTTCTCCAGCTGTGAGGTCGCCCTGCGTGGGAGGGAGGCTGATGAAGGGCCTCTGGTGCTTCCTCGCCCTGACTCGGGCCCTGCCCTCCTCCTGATTTCCAGGTTGAACTGCTGCAGGCCATCATGAACTATGTCCTGCCCACCACCGTGCTTCCCAAGGTCAACGGTAAGGAGCGTTGGAGAAGCGGCTGATTTCCAGTCCTAGGGGAAGCGGTGTGGGTAACTCCTAGAACTACCCCACACCTGGCCCCTGTCGTGCGGGCTGAGGGGAGAGAACCTCAAATGAACCTCACGTGGCATCTGACCCGGAAAAGGAATGGAAAAAGGAAACTCACGTAGGTGGAGTTCTTACTCCGAGCCCTCACCATCCTTAGGAAATGAGGGATCATTCATATCTCCAGTTTTCCTGGGAGGAGGTCAGAGAAGTTAAATGACTTAAGGGAATCAGAGAAATGAAATGCCCGATCACAGAGCAGGTGAGAGATGGAGCTTGGGTTTGATCCCACCTCTGAGCCAGAGCCCCTGGTCTTAACTCCAAATCAGGGAGGAAGACCAGGAAAGGAGGGCTTCCGCTACAGGCTAGTGTGCTCATTCCCTTGGTAAAGGCGCCAGGCAGGCCTGCTGCTAACCTTGGCATCGCCAGGGCCATCAGTGCCCATGAAGGCCCCGTAACATGGGACCAGAATATTTAAAAATTGCAACTTAAGACCAGTTATTGTACAGAACATGACTTGTCCTCCCCCCCTCGAAACACGTAGCTTCCAGTGGCCCAGGAGACCGAGTTTGAACTTGGAATTCTCCCGGCTTCTAATGCAGAATGCGATGCTGTGGGAGGAGCTGACCCCCACTACCGCCCGTCCCTACCTGTGTCCTAAACATTGAGGGGCTTCCTGCAAACACAAATAGATACCCCCAGTCACATGTCCATGTGCTGTCCACACCCCTGCAAGCAGGGGCCACTGCTGTCACTCGGGCCTGGTGTCCTCTGGCAGTGCCGTCACCCTCAGGAGGGTGGTCCCAGTCAAGAGGCCTGCACTGGTCCTGGCCTTGAGCTTGGGTGATGGGGTGGGAATGAGCGGGCCCCAGGTTTCTCTCCAGTCCAGGGAGGCCGCTCACCCCGCTCCCTTGGAACCCCTGCCGCACCCTCTACCTCCTCCCCCATCCTCACCCTGACCTCCATCGCAGAGAGGCTGCAGCAAGGCTTCCCTCTCCCGCTGCCCAGGCGCGTCCAGCTCCTCAACCTGGTGCTCCAGTCTTACCAGGTGAGTCCCAAAGGCCTCTTTTCACCCAGTCTCCCACCACAGCAGCAACCTGTGCTGAAAAGCGTTCCCCGGGCCAGCCCCATGCCGAGCACTTTCTACGCTCACAGCAACCCTGGGAGGTGGGCACCCTTCATAAGCAGAGAAGGAGGACTAAGACTCAGAAACGCCGCATGGCTATTAAATGAAGTCCAGCTCCAAAGCCAGGTCCCTGCTGTTCACTGATGGCTGCATCATTCCCACCCAACGCTGGGTAAAAATGGAACTGGAACTCTCTTGGTGGCCATAGATCCTCTTCCATGAGGCGGCCGCATTTACTGACTGAGATATGTGTTGGGTGCTTTCTTTTGCATCAGCCTCATTCCAGGGGCTGGAATTCACCTGTCGGGTAGGACTCCTGGCCGGTGTCAGGAGAATTTAGATAGCAGAATGGACTGCTTCTTCTTGCCTTTCTCCCAGCCTGAGGCCCCTCTCCCTGGTTTCCAGCCATCTCTCACTGGGGTCTTTACAGTCTCCTTTGCTGCTTCCTGCTTCCCCTTCCTTCCCAGAGGGTGTTCTCCAGGGTCCTGCCAGGCCTCTGCCCTTCCCCCACTACAGGCTTTCCCTGGTCACTTCCATCAACTCAGGCCTAACAGCCACCTTCGAGCCCACCCAGGGGCTCAGCCATGCTTCCAGTTTCTTCTACACCCTGACTTGCGTGCCTCCGCCCTGAGGCCCCAGCAAGTCCCGACAGAGCGGATCACTGTGCAGTAAACCGTCACCTCCTGCTGCGCCCCTTACCTGGTCAATGGCTTTCCTAGTAACTTCATAGCTCTCAGGGGAAACCCACCCATCGCCCAGATTCCTGCAGGAAATGCTGGAACCCTCCCTCACTCCTGAGATCCAATCAACCCCCAGGTGTTTTTTTTTTAAGATTTTATTCATTTATTTTTAGAGAGGGGAAGGGAGGGAGAAAAAGAGGGAGAGAAATATTGATGTGTGGTTGCCTCTCATGCGCCCCCAACTGGGGACATGGCCTGCAACCCAGGCATGTGCTCTGGCTGGGAATCGAACCAGTGACCCTTTGGTTTGCGCAGGTCAGTGCTCAGCCCACTAAGCCACACCAGCCAGGGCTCAACACCCCCTGACACCCGCCGCCCTGTTTTTTAGACCAGGAAACTACTGGGGCTAAAAGACTGTAGAAAAACAGATGAGCAGAGAAAACACATGTCCTATGTTGCCCACCTTTTGCCAAGTGCATCCTTTTAAAAAAATGACCCATGGCACAATGTAATTTCTTCATGTATGAAAGTTGTGAGTGAAGGGCATGATGGAGCAAAGAGAAGTGGTTTTGCAGCCTTGGCAGGAACAAGGGCTCCCCCAGCTGCCCTGGGGGGCGGGGTGGGGGAGGGGGGAGCCAGGAAGACAAACGGAGGCCTCCAGGACCACCTGGGGGTCTCCACGTCTGAGGAGGGAGCAGCTGGCAGGGAAGCTGGACAGACTCACAGGCGTTGGGCTGGGCAGACCCCAGAGGCGAGACCGCAGCGCCCCCACTCCCTCCTGCCTTCCTGTCAGCAGACCCGGGCCCCTCTGCCCCCAAAGTCATCTTCTAACAGCCCTGCAGCTGCCCCTGCCCAACAGGGGGCGCACTTCCTGCTGATCCTGACATTCCCGTCTCTTCCCAGAACTTCCTGCTGTTTGGTGCGGACGTGCAGTACAACTGAAGTCACTGCAGGTGCTGGGGGCCGTCAGCCACACAGGGAGGCAGAGGTCGTCGACACCCACTCCTGACAGGCCCGTGGCCCGGCCACCTTTCTCCCAGCCACACTCCCTACCTCTTGACCCCGAGACCCTTGCAATCTTCTCTAACTCAGGTTCAGAAGTGGCTGAACCATCGAGAACCTTGTTCCTTGGGAAAGGGTGGTGTGTATGTCAGGGACTAGGTGCTTCTTACAAAGGCTAAGCCTGCACCAGCATTTCCCTCAGAAATTGCATTTCGGTTGTAATCACAATGTTTCTCTTCATGTTCCACACAAAAAAAAATCTGGGTTTTTAAAATATGGAATTCTGTGTGATGGTATTGTTTCTTGTCTTATGTCCATTCATTCATTCACTGGCTGCACCCAGCATGGCCTGTAGCACCAATGTACGGCACAGATATGTTGCTTCTTGATTTCTCTAGTCTCTTGAGCCCCCATATGCCTCTGTTAGCAAAACTGCCATTGTGTCTCTTTGAAGACACCCCTCATTCCACACTGGCCAAGAGTCCCAAGGGAGTATGAGTCTTGCTTCCTAATGCCAGGCAGTTTGCAGAGTGGATGGGTCCACGGGGCTGTTGTTCCCGCTGTGGCCGCGTGGTGGCGCTGTTGAACAGCTATCCTGCACAGCCTGTTTTCCCTGCCCCACACTTGGGCCCAAGAATAATAGCTCCTTCAATCTGTGATCTCCTCTCCTGCCCAGCCATTGGGCCCGACGCAGAACTGGGCCAGAGGACAGATGCCATTGGAGTTTCAGTCAATTGCATCCTCAGCTACAGTTAGCACCTTGCCCATGGCTTTCCAGATCACCAGCACAGGCCATCCTTGGGCTCAGTGAGTTTCCTCCTGGGCTTTGGGACAGACAGCTCCTGCCATGGGACACCATGGGTGGCTGTCTCAGGCCATTAGACAGATCCTAACAGCATTTGATTAAGCATTTCCTGGAAGTCCTCTCTGAGCTGTTGGCATCTGGTCTGAGGCTGGAAGGGTGAGGAAGGGTCTGAAGCAGTCAATGTGGTGCGGGCGACATGACCAGAATGAGCTTTAAAATGTCTTGTTGTGCCTTCTGAAAGGACGAAGGAGGGCAGGAGGTGAAGGGGGTGGGCACGAATTAGGAATCTGTTGTTCAGACTTCATCCAGGCGGGCCGTAGTAAAAATGGACGATAGCAGCATGGATAGTGATGGAAACCAGATGAAAGGTATTTTTAAAGAAGATTGTACACATTGCTGCTAACAGCATCAGTTTTGTCGAGTGCAGGAGAGGCTCTGGGGCCACACAGGGGAAGAGAGGGAAACTGATCACGCGCAGCACATGAATGATCCCACTGAACCCCACAGCCCTCACCACCCCACCCTCCCAGTGGGAAGCGTTCGAGGCTTTGGGTGGAGTCATTCTCCTGGAATCACTCAGCCGGCAAATGGCAGGGCTGCCATCTCCCCCACCTCTGTCACCAGAGCCCGTGTCTTTCCACCCCTCCCGGGTGTTAAAGTCTCGTCTGTTTGATGCGTGGGGTGTTTAAGGCGGAATTGCCGTGTTCAACTGCCCAGGTTGCATGCACACTGTAAAAGGTGTCGGGCTGAAGAAACTAAATCCTTTCTCTAATTTTCCCACTGTGAGGTGCATCTTTTTCTGCTGGGAGGCTCCGAAATGAGCAGAGAGCAGCCAGTGGGTGGGAGGGAGGGAGGGAGGGAGGAAGTGGGAGCAGGACATGGGACGAGCAGGGCGGGGAAGGCCACCACCCACCGCATGTGTACAAGACCTCTCTGCGTGGAGTGGGGAGCAGAGCGGGCAAGTATAGGGACACAGCCCTGCCTCCCCGCCCCCTTGGTTCCCACCATTCTCTTTGGAGGTAGCTGCCCCCCTCCTCTACTTTCCAAAACGTTTAAGCAACCCCCGCCCCACTCTCTAGAGAGAAAGAAAAAAAAAAGCAGTATTTCCTGAACTGAAGGACTGGTGAGCGGACCTTTCTCTAAGGGCTGAGAAATAGGAGGTGTGGTGTGCGGAGCATCCCCAAGACAGTCCGAGGTATCTGCCAGGCTGCCTGCAAACCCACCAGGACAGCAGCTTCCCCTCGGGCTCAGCCTTCCAGCTCTGCCTGGCTGCTACTATGTGCTTGTTTCTCCGGGGGGTGTTGGAAGTCTCTAAAACTAGACCATGGGGATAGTTGCGCAACTCCGTAAATATCATAAAAACCGCTGAACCGTACACTTTAAATGGGTGAATGTTATGGTATGTGAAATATATGTCAATAAAACTTAAAAAACAAAAAGAATCGCCTACTCCAGACTGCCTAAAAGCTCCCCATTTAATCAGCTTCCGTTCTGGGTTAAGGATTGCCCTCCGAGGGCTCCTTTTGGGGATGGCGGTGTTAAATGCGATGGGGGGGTAGGTATCTTGTGTGGGGAGCTGAGGGGTGGGACCTGCCGGAACTAACAACCCCTGTGTTCAGCATTTCATCATATCCCATGAGTGGCCACGAGTGGCCCTGCCCTGCACCAATCTTGTCACATTTATCATCTCATTTAATCCTCACTACCCCTCTGAAAGTAGACAAGGGGTCCCCATTTTCCAGATGAAGGGTCTGAGGTTTAGGGAGTTGATGTGGCACCTGCCCAGGGCCACTCAGCTCAGTGTTCAGAGTCTGGCTGTGGAGTCTCCTGGCCCTGGCTCATGCCTTGGTGGTTAAAAACATGGGCTGTGCTCCCAGACACCGTGAGTTCAGATCCCAGCTTGGCTCCTTAACTGACCTTGGCCAGTGAACTCTCTGGGTTTTGATTTTCCTTGTCTGGACCCTCATAGTCCCTGCCTCACAGAGTTGTGAGAACAATCAAATACGTGATCTGTGACCCAGGACCCAAGTAGTGATCACAGTCGGCTCCAAACAACAGTAAAGCCAGCTCTCTCTCTACTGTAAGGACTGTGTCTGGCTTGCCATAGTTACATTCCCAATGCCTGGCAGACAATAGGTGCTCAATAAATACTTATTTTAAAAATCAGCTAGGATTTGAATTCACAGCCAAGTGGCTGGAAGCCACTGTGTCAATGGTTCCTGAAGTGTGTGCCAGGGCCACCTGCCTGACCCCGAGAACCAGAGCGCAGGACAGCCAGGACATGGGGTCCAGCGCTGGGCTCGCTCTGCGCCTTTGGCTGGCCCCTCTCCTTGTCTAGATTTCCATCTCGCCGTCTGTAAAAGCAAGGACCCTCTGGAATTCCGGGAACGAAATCCAATAAAGTGAGCTCTGGCAAATATTAAGGAATCTTTTCTTGCTGAGAAATTTTCATTTTAACAGAAGCTCCTTAGGGTCCCCAAAGCTATCAAGACTCAGTGAAATGAGGCTCCTGCTGGGATTTTAAATGCTGCTGATTGCAGAGGCCGAGGAGGTGGGGAGGGGGATGGGAGGGTTCCCAGGATCCTCAGGGTTTCCCTGGGGTGAGGGGCTGGGTAATTGGCATTACTTTTTTTTCCTTCTGTAAATTCACATGCCTCGTGTGTGTGTGTGTGTGTGTGTGTGTGTGCGCGCACGCATGCTAAAGGGTGCAGGTGACAGGGCCAGGAGAGGGGGCGGCTGCCATCAACATCAAACCCTGAAATCCAAAGTGCCCTACAGGGACCCGATGAGAACTGCTGTTCTCAGGAGCGTGGGCACCACCAGGGGGAACTGCGCTAAGAATGGAAGTGGACAGAGTTACGGAGCTGCTGAGCTTCCGGCGCACCTGGAGCTCAACTTACTCTTTGTAGTCGAAGCACCGTCCGCCATCAGCACCACCTGGGAGCTGGTCAGAAATGCAGAGTCTTGGCCCCCAAAGGCACCCGGTGAATCAGAATTTGCATTTAAACAACATCCCTGGTACATATTCACCACAATGTCTTTATTCGTTCATCCGCTGATGGACACTTAGGTTGTTCCTGTGTCTTTAATGCTGTTATGAATGCAGATATCTCTTCAATATCCTGTTTGTATTTCCATTAGGTTAATACCCAGAAGTGGAATTGCAGGATCGTACGGCAGTCCTGTTTTCAGTTTTTAAAGGGGCCTCTGCACTATTTTCCGCAGAGGCTGCACCAGTGCACGTTCCCACCAGCGGTGCACGAGGGCTGCCTCTCCCCACATCCAGAAGCTGGGGTCTGTGTGCACCATGGGGTGCCACTCGGTCACGAGGAGGAGGGAGATCCTGCCACCCGCAACAACAGGGTGAAAGTTGCGGGCATTACGCTCAGTGAGACAAGTCGGAGAAAGACGACAACCGTGTGATCTCACTCACATATGGAATTGTTATCGGAGGGGGGGAGGCGGGGAACAAGAGATTGTTGGAGGAGAACCTGAGGTGCAAGTCCTGGGGATCTGATCTGCAGTGGGGTGGTCAGAGACAGCAATACTGTGTTATGAACTTCACACTTGCTGAGGGACTAGATGTTAGCTGTTCCCATCACAGGGGAAAAAAGATAATTGAGTCATGGGATGGAGGTGCCTGCTAACGTGGTCGGGACATTGTGATATATAAATATATCGAGTCAACACGTTGTACACCTTACACTGACAGGTCAGTTATATTTCATAAACATACATTTCAAATTCTATAAACAAGGTCCCTGGGGTTTACGGAATGCGGTCCTGGTTTGCCCCATGCCACACGGCCCGTGGGGACAGGAGCCCAGGTGAGGACCCAGGCCTCCTCGCTGCCGGTCCTTCCCCTTCTGTGGCTCCGTGTTTTGGCACTTGCTGCTCCCTCCTCTGCAAAACCTCCATGTGACCTTCAAGACCCAGCAGGATGTCACCTTTCCCCAGAGACTCTCTTGGTGGCAGAGCATGAGTCGCTGCATGTGGTTAGTCGTCCCCCAGTCCACTCGCTGCCCCTGAACGAGACCTGCAAGTGGAAAAGAATTCAGAGCTCTCCACAAGGGGGCGGCGTTGGCTCCGAGTGCCGATCAGGGTCCAGGCAGGACACCGGAACCCAGAGCCGGCGGTTCTTAAGATTCAGGTGGAGAGACTTTGCAGAGCTGGGAGGCAGGCTGAGGGAAACTGGCGAAAGGTGTCGAGGCCCCAGGAGTTAGAATCTCTGAACTTGAAGAGCAAAAATAGAGTCAGGGGACCCGAGCCCAGCGAAGGCTGGGAACTGGTGACACAGCTGTAGAATTCTCTGACAGCCTGTCGTGCTGCCCCTCGGCTGAGCCCAAGGGGAAACTGAGTCACAGGGCGCACGTAAGGATTCACATCCAGGCCATCTGGTCTCGAAGTCCATGCCCTTTAATCTTACGCTGTTTCCTGCTTCGTGTTCATTCTCTCTGTGGACAATTATCTACCATGTACCTGCCACTCAAGTGTCCCAAGCCCTGTGGCTTCCAAGTCCCAGGTTTTCCGAATTGTTTCCAGCCAACGCTTTGTAACCAGAATCAATAAACCTGGTTCTTTTGGAAGCGAGAACATTCTCGCTGTCGGCCTTGGTGGGTGGCGGTGGCTCTGGCTTTCACGGAGGTGGATGGGCAGCCTGGTAGGACAAAGGCCCAGGGGCTGACCAGCACTCGGGTCACACGGCTGCCAGGGGCCTCTCCTGGGTCCCGGGTCACCAACTGACCTTGAGCAGCAGTGAGCGCCTGAGGGGGGGACGCCTGGCCTGCAGCCACGTGGCACACTAGCCAGGGCAGGTCTAAGGTCAAAAGTTTGCTGCTGTGGGAGATCCCCACCCCCTACAAGTGGCCCCCAACCTGGGACATCCTCAAACTGCCACCAGAAGAATGACATCTGTGTCCCCATGAGGTCCTCATTCTCCACACTGTCCTCTCCCACTCTCCAGGGCCGGAAGGGCCCACGGGACTCACCAGCTCTGCCCTCCTTGTATTACAGAGGGAAACTGAGGCACAGGAGGAAACAAGGCTTGCTAAGGGTCACACGGCCAGGCAGGCTGAGCACACTGGCTTCCTGACTCCAAGCAGAGGACCGGTCCCCCTCTTGGCAGGCCGAGTCCAGGAAGCAGATGTCCCCAGGATGGCTGAGTCCTCTTAACCCTGCCCTCTGGAGCTCCGGGGCTGGTGAGGTGACAGGCCCTGACAGGACCTTGACACATTCCGATGACAGAGGAGCAGAGAGGCGGCAGCTGTGGGCTTCCCCATGCTCAGCACGGGGAGTTCCCTTTGGAACCCCAAGTATGACCTGCTGGGAAGTAACTCTGTTATTTACACTACATTCGATTGGGGGGGCAGTCACAAAGACCTGGCCAGTTGTAAGAGGAAGGCGCAGAGACTCTACCCGTTGATGGGAGGAGTGTCAAAGAATTTTTGGACCTGTTTTTAAAGGACCGCAATTACAAAAAAGCAGAGAATGGTTAATGCTGTTATGGAGAAAGTGCAGAGGATTCCGGGACC